CAAGCATCATGAGGAGGGCTTTTGTGTCGGGTGGGAGTTTGGTGCAGGATTTCAGAACCCAAGGGGTGAGGGAAGTACCCACAAAGAAGGGAAGCCTAGTTCAGGGTATCAGAGCCCTGAACCTCAGAGCAAGGTGAAAACAGCATTCCTGTGGAGCATGGCTAGGTCTAGGGTGTCCTCTGACACCCCAAGTAGAAAGAGAAGGGCTTTTGGGGGAAGCATTCGGGGATTGGTCCTCAAATGAGGTAAGGAAGGCATCTCTGTGAGCAAAAGGTGATGGCAGTGAAAGTTTAGTTAAATACATGGGACAGATCAAGTAAGTAAATATATTGAAGATGATAGAAGCCATGTTTCTCACTGTCAAAGGGATTACAAATATGAAAAGGGAGAAAATTAGAATGAACCTACTGGTGCTGGATTAGAGTTAGAAGTATCCGTGTGAACGCATAGATTTCAACAAATATATGGAAATAAATGTAGATATAAATGTACATATGTATCACATGCTTATGTTTCTTAACTCTTCCATTGAGAGGGCCTGGGAGCAGAGATTCCCCAATGGCAATGAACACACATACAGCCCAGATTTTGGCCTCCAAACACCATTCTCCACTACAAAGAAGCTTGGAGGTCTCATTGGAGGAATGACTTATCCTAGATCCCTGGAAGAAAAAAAGAACAAGATGTACCTGTGGGACATCTTGTTATGCCAGAAAGTAGAAATGTTCAAAAATGATGTGTCAGACTTAAAGGGGACTCCCATTGGCCAAATTTGGGGAAATTTGAACATTGTAATAAAGAATGAGCTAATAACCTATTAAAACAGGAAACTGTGAGTCCATACTGATTTAAATAAATGATACCAATAATTTAAAAATTTGATGAGAAACAATATTTACATAGGTTTTAAGTGCCTCCTCCACACAAAATACTATATTATAAAGGGGAAAAGAGTAACTTTACAGTGGAGAAACCTGGCAGACACCATTTCAATTAAAATTAAATATCACCAGTAATGGGACATATAAAAATCATATGCTACCTGATTGGAAATAATGAGAACACAGCATCACTTCTGTGACATTCCTACCAAAGATGCTCAACCTGAACCTAGTCACGAGGAAACATCAGATATAACTTTTATCTTTATTTTTTTTATTTTTATTTTTTTTATTTTTAATTTTTTATTGGATTTTAGGTTTTGGGGTACATGAGCAGAGCATGCAAGACAGTTGCGTAGGTACGCACATGGCAGTGTGCTTTGCTTTGCTTCTCCCCTTCACCCCCATTTGGCATTTCTCCCCAGGCTATCCCTCCCCACCTCCCCCTCCCACTGGCCCTCCCCTTTTCCCCCCAATAGACCCCAGTGTTTAGTACTCCCCTTTCTGTGTCCATGTGTTCTCATTTTTCATCACCCGCCTATGAGTGAGAATATGCGGTGTTTCATTTTCTGTTCTTGTGTCAGTTTGCTGAGGATGATGTTCTCCAGATTCATCCATGTCCCTACAAACGACACAAACTCATCATTTCTGATTGCTGCATAATATTCCATGGTGTATATGTGCCACATTTTTCCAATCCAGTCTATTATCAATGGGCATTTTGGTTGATTCCAGGTCTTTGCTATCGTAAACAGTACTGCAATGAACATTTGTGTACATGTGTCCTTATAGTAGAACGATTTATAGTCTTTTGGATATATACCCAGTAATGGGATTGCTGGGTCAAATGGAATTTCTATTTCTAAGACCTTGAGGAATCGCCACACTGTCTTTATTTTTTGAGACAGGGTCTCACTCTGTCACCTAGCCTGGAATACAATGGCACGATCATAGCTCACTGCAGCCTTGACCTCCTGGGCTCAGATGATCCTCCCACCTCAGCCTCCCAGGTAGCTGGGACTACAGATGCACACCACCATGCCTGGCTAATTCTTGTGTTTTTTTGTAGCGATAAGGTCTCCCTTTTTTCCCAGGCTGATCTCTAACTGCTGGGCTCAAGTGATCTGCCCACCTCAGCCTCCAGCCTCCCAAAGTGCTGGCATTACAGGTGTGAGCCAACATGCCCAGCCCAGATAACCCTAAATGAAGGACATTCTACAAAGTAGCTGACTATAATCTTCAAAAAGTGTCAAGGTCATGAAGTTCAAGATACTGAGGATCTGTTGCTGATTCAATGAGACTTAGACACAATTGAAGATAATATGTGATTCTGAACTGGATTATTTTACTGTGAAGGATGTTATTTGGGGAAATGAGTGAAACTTGAATGGAGTTTGATGATAACATGGTAGTGATGTAATCAATGTTAATTTCTTGATTGTGATGGTTTGATTGTGATTAGGAAGTCCTTGTTTGCAGGAAAAACACTCTTCAGGGTTGATGGGGCATCATGTCAACAACTACTCTCAAATGGTTGGAGAGAGAGATTTTGGACTGTACTTGCAACTTTTAAGTAAGTTTGAGATTGTTTCAAAATTAAATAAAAAATGTTAAAATTTAAAACCAGGTACATAGCTATAATCACGAATAGACCCGTGAACTTGATTGGTCTATTTTACAATACCTGCTTCAATTATCTCTTTCTTGGTTTTATTTCTGTTTTCATAAAACATTTGAGAGCAAAACCCAGATACCATGAAACTTCACCTGTAAATACTTCTGTATCTTTTAAATGGGCCTATTTTTAGGTAACGATAATCACATTATCATACCTAATAAAATTAACGTGGCTAAATTGTTTATTTTTGCCTTAACATTTTTCTGTTTTTAAAGAGAGATTATTAAATAATTGTCTTGGCTATAAAAAAGAAGAAACTGTGGGTCCTGGAAAGTGGTAAGACCTCTGGGCACTCAAAGTAAAATATTCCAAAGTTCATCTTTGCTCTTTTCTATCCCTACTTTTATGAGGACCTAGATACCACTGAGAATTCTCATACCTCCCTAGAAGAATCCATTGGTAACCATGGCAGCTGCCTTATTTGATTACAACCTTTTAGAAAAATGTATTTATTTTAAAGCATTTCTGAGTTGCTTGATTTCTACAATGTTATTTGCAGTCTTCTAGTTCTAAAATTAACTCACTTATTTAAGTTATATATGTGAGATATATGACAGTAACATTTACTATTCTAGGTAAGGTTATTCCCTAAAATATTTTTAGATCTTTATCATTTATCACATTCTGTCCATTTTTGCTAGAATTTTACCATCTCATTTTGGGAACTTTCTCTTAATTCTGAAATAATTCAGTTTGCTAAACACTTGCTCATTTGTTTATATAATTAGAAATACAATTTGTATTTTGATTGATAAACCCTCATTCATCTATATTCCCTTGTTAATTAAGGATACCATCTTTCACCTGGTCATCTAAGCTAGAAATATGGGAATCACATTAACTTTCTCCCCACCACTCAACAGACAAGTGCACACACCCCACCTCTGATGGGCCTTATGTTATGTTGCTTTTCTCTGATCTTTTCTTGAAACATCTCTGCCTCAAGACATCTCTGAAAAGCCTTTATAATAGCATTGGTAACAGCAATAAATGAGTAATAGCAAGTAGTTTACATGTCTGCTATGTGTCAGTCTCTATTCTAAAAGCTTTGCAGATATTAACATATTAGATCCTCAATTAGGCACTATAATTATCCCCATTTTATGGCAGAAGAAACAGGCTCAAAAAGGCTATGTTATATACTCAAAGTCACATAGTTAAGAAGAGCTGAAATTTGGATTCAGATAATCTGACATCAGAGTTGGGTTCTTGACCCTTCCTCAGTCCTATTCAACCTCACCCAAGTAGATTTGGGCCATTTTCTATTCCCATAGTCACTTGTGCCTGTATCTTTATTTTCTTATATTATAATTGTGTATGTAATACTGGTGTTCCTAGAAGACTAAAGGGAATGTTATTATTTATATTTACATAAGTAGAGAGAATAATGAATCCAGATATACCAGTCTCTCTAATTCAACACTTATCAATATTTTAAAATACCTGCTTCAATTATCTCTTTCTTGGTTTTCTTTCTGTTTTCATAAAACATTTGAAAGCAAAACCCAGATATCATGAAACTTCACCTGTAAATACTTTAGTATCTTTTAAATGGTCCTATTTTTAGGTAATGATAATCACATTATCATACCTAATAAAATTAACATTAATTACTATCCTCTTGATCATGAGTTTCTTGAAGGCAGAAATCATTTCATCTCTGTGCTTCGAATCCTAATGCACTCCTTGATATATATTGGCGTTTAACAAATGTTTGTTATGGTTGAAAAGTTTATGTATTTATTATTATCATTATTATTATTATTATTATTTTGAGATGGAGTCTTGCTCTGTCGCCCAGGCTGGAGTACAGTGGTGCAATCTTGGCTCACTGCAACCTCCTCCTTTCAGGTTCAAGTGATTCTCCTGCCTCAGCCTCCCCAGTAACTGGGATTACAGACACGAACCACCACACCCAGCTAATTTTTTGTATTTTTAGTAGAGACGGGGTTTCACTGTTGGCCAAGCTGGTCTTGAACTCCTGACCTCGTGATCCACCTACCTCAGCCTCCCAAAGTGCTGGGATTACAGGTGTGAGCCACCATGCCCAGCCAAAAAGTTTGTTTTTTAAGTTGTTTAAAACCATAACGTTTATCCTCCAGGAACAATGTTAAAAATAACTATCAGGTTCTTGGGTTAACTGACAACTGCCACTTAATCTACAGCAATTAGATTATATAGCACTAAAGTTTAGGCTAGGAGCCCTAAATCCTAAACCATTTTATATTTGAATATTGAGTCTGAGAAAAACCTGAGTCTAATTTAGCTCAGCCCTGAGTTTTCTTGTTCCCACTGTCTATCCAGGGAGGACATTAAGAACAAGGGCTCGGGCCGGGCATGATGGCTCACGCCTGTAATCCCAGCACTTTGGGAGGCCGAGGCGGGTGGATCACGAGGTCAAGAGAACGAGACCATCCTGGTCAACATGGTGAAACCCCGTCTCTACTAAAAGTACAAAAAATTAACTGGGCACGGTGGCGCGTGCCTGTAATCCCAACTACTCAGGAGGCTGAGGCAGGGGAATTGCCTGAACCCAGGCGGCGGAGGTTGCGGTGAGCCGAGATCGCGCCATTGCACTCCAGCCTGGGTAACAAGAGTGAAACCGTCTCAAAAAAAAAAAAGAACAAGGGCTCGACTAGAGGAGAGTGTTCATTGGTAAAGGTTTCCTAGAAGGAAATATGGCAGCATCCACTAAAAAGTAATATGGTCTTCAAAGAAATTTTTCCATGGAAATATTCCCCCATGTGTGTTAACATGTATGTAAAAAATGTTTATTGCCAAAATGGTATAGTAAAAAATTGGAGACAGCCTATATTCTTCATTATCAGGGGTGTAGATTGATAAATTATGGTTCATCCACTTATAGTTCCAAGCAACTGTTGAAGGGAGAGGCAGAGCTATACATGTTTGTGGTGTGTGTGTGTGTGTGTGTGTGTGCACATGCACACTATAGGAGAGTGGACGACATTACAGAACAGTACACATTTGACTCCATGTCGATAAAAATATATATATGTGTGCATCCTCCTATTTATGTCAAAGTATTTTAAAAGACAGCCAGGAGAAACGCTACGTTGTTAGTGGTGATAGCCAGTAAGCTGGGGAACTAAAATGGGGTAAAAGTGAAGGAGACTATCATATTTTATTCATGTACTGTGTTATAGAATGAATCTTTTTTTTAATTTATGTTTTTTTCTCTCACTACTTGGATCAGTATAGAATGAATCTTTTAAAAATAAAAATGCATTTATCTTTTGGTTGGCTTCATATCAAATTTTTTAAATTGAGGGCTTGATATGTGCAAAACATTATACTGTAAATAATTTTAACTGATTTGAAAATGAAAGACATAACACTTTACTCTTTTGAGATTTGAGAAGAGCAAAGGCCAAAATGCTTTTTAATTGTTATAAAGTGAACCTACTCAATAAACTTATTTACCATTTCCTGTGTGACAACTGTGCTGGGTGCAGGGAGAGAGACAGAAGACTGTATGAAACAGACCCTGCTCTCCTGAACCTAGTAATTACTAGGAAAGAAACAGTGGCAGACAAGGGCCATAGAAACCACAGAGTGCCACTAATATGAATTGTTCAACATGAGTCAATTTTTTTTTTGAGACGGAGTTTCGCTCTTGTTACCCAGGCTGGAGTGCAATGGCGCGATCTCGGCTCACTGCAACCTCCGCCTCCTGGGTTCAGGCAATTCTCCTGCCTCAGCCTCCTGAGTAGCTGGGATTACAGGCACACGCCACCACACCCAGCTGATTTTTTGAATGTTTAGTAGAGATGGGGTTTCACCATGTTAACCAGGATGGTCTCGATCTCTTGACCTCGTGATCCACCCGCCTTGGCCTCCCAAAGTGCTGGGATTACAGGCTTGAGCCACTGGGCCCGGCCTAAGATTTTTATATTTTTTTGTTTTGTTTTCTTTGAGACAGAGTCTCACTGTCACCAGACTGGAGTGCAGTGGCACAATCTCAGCTCGCTGCAACCTCTGCCTCCCAGATTCAAGGAATTCTCCTGCCTCGGCTTCTGGAGTAGCTGAGACTAGGCACATGCCATCACACCCAGCTAATTTTTGTATTTTTAGTAGAGACAGGGTTTCACCATATTGGCCAGGATGATCTCAATCCCTTGACCTCGTAATCTGCCCTCCTCAGCCTCCCAGAGTGCTGGGATTACAGGCATGAACCACCAAGCCTGGCCTTTTTTTTTTTTTTTTTGAGACAAGGCCTCTCTCTGTCACCCAGACTGGAGTGCACTGGCATGATCACAGCTCACTGCAGCCTCAACCTCCCACGCTTAACCAGTTCCCCCACCTCAGCCTGCTGAGTAGCTGGGACCACAGATGTGTGCTACCACACCCCGCTAATTTGCAATTTTTGAAGAGACAAGATCCCACTGTGTTCCCCAGGCAGGCCTTGAACTCCTGGGTTTAAGCAGTTCTCCCACCTCGGCTTCTCAAAGTGCTGGGATTACAGGCATGAGCCATGGCACCTAGCCTAAACTCAGATTTTAAATGAATACCCTATCTCAATTTTTATTACATTTTAGTTACAGAATGCCATATTGTCTTCTATTTTGTGGATTGCCCTGGAGTGATAACACATGTAGTTCACAGAAAACTGGGATTACCTTACACATTAAAAAACAATGGCAACCAATAGTTAAACCCTGTTCGAGTAAATTTAAATAATAAACAATAGTAGTAAATTTAGATAATAAACAATAGTATTTAAGTTACATGTCAGGTTTCAAATGTCACATCTTGGCTTATCTATCCATCCATTTAATTGACTTATTTAACAAATGTTATTGAATGCCTACTTGGGCATTGCTCTAGGAAACACTGATGGTATTGCAGTAAAAAATCAAGTATTTTAAAAACACATTTTAACATCGAAAATACTGAAAGTCTGAAATCAGTGCAATTTCTATGCAAAAGTAAGGAAGGGGCAAGGTTCACTGGAGCTTTGCTTATTCCATTTCTTATTACAGTCACAGAATAATAATTGTATGGCCGGCTTACAGAAATCTCTGCCAAAATACCTCAGATCTAGTACATTTTTCCTGATGTTAATGATTTAGATATTAATTGAAATACACAATTTAAAAATAAATTTTTATCAAAACAGGTAGATTTACATGTTCATAAAACAAGACAAAGTATAAACCTCTCCATTTTTACTTAATCTTGTATGTACAGATATTTGAAATGTAGACTGTCCAGTTTTATTCCTAAAATCTCTTCTCTTTGATGTCAATATGTCAGACTTTTTTCTCATATCCAAGTAAGTGTTGAAAGATGCTGTGTATCATATGCAGTTTTCAGTTTTTTCTTAATTGATTAGTACACTTTAATATTTATACGACAAGATCATTGGTGAAGATGTTACAGTGAACATTAATTGGTAAAGTCAATAAAACAGGATTCGGAGACAGAAAATACAAGTCAAGGCTCTTCCACTTCGTAGTTAGTGACTTCTGGGTATTACAACTGTATGTTCAGTTTCTGTTTTTTCAGCTACAAAATAAAATATTTGTGAGAAGATTAAACACAAATATGCTAAAATGCTGGAGAAGCTATAAAGCTTTGTAGATATTTTGTGTTTGTATTCATTATAACACTGTGCTAAATAAACAGCACTTGTTAGAAACCAGCAGTAGATATTATTTTAATGGTGAAATACTGTTCCCAAGTCGGAACAAAACAAAGGTGTTTGTTTTTATCATCTCTATTTTCTTTTCTTTTCTTGTTGCCCAGGCTGGAGTGCAATGGTGTGATCTTGACTCACTGCAACCTCCACCTCCTGGGTTCAAGCGATTCTCCTGCCTTAGCCTCCCAAGTAGATGAGACTACAGGCGTGTGCCACCACACCCAGCTAATTTTTTATATGTTTAGTAGAGATGGGGTTTCACCATGTTGGCCAAGCTGGTCTCAAACTTCTAACCTCAGGTGATCCACCCCACCTATGTGTCTGAAAGTGTTGGGATTACAGGCGTTAGCCACCTTGTCCGGCCTACGATCAATTTTTTCAATATTGTTCTATAATTCTAGACCAGCACTGTGCAGTAAGACTTCCTGCAGTTATGGAAGTGTTTTCTGTCTATGCTATTCGATATGGAGCCACTAGCCATGTGTGTCCATCCAAGTTTACATTAAATTAAACTTAATTACATTTGAAATTCAGTTCCTCAGTTGCACTAACATTTCAAATGCTCGTTAGCCACATGTAGCTAGTGGCTACCATATTATATAGCTCAGATGAAGAACATTTTCAGCATCCCAGAAAACTCAATTGGTTTAGAAGTTCTAATAGTCCAGAATTACAGAATAATGTTGAATAAGAGAGATAATGAAAGCATCACATATTTATCCATCCATCAATCCATTTTGTGTTTTATGTTTTTTGTTTTTTTTTTTTTGAGATAGTCTCAGTCACTCTGTCACACAGGCTGGAGTGCAGTGGCACGATCATGGCTCACTGCAACCTCACCTCCCCAGATCAAGCTATTCTTGTGACTCAGCCTCCCAAGTAGCTAGGATTATAGGCATGCACCACCACGCCTGGCTGATTTTTGTATTTTTAGTAGAGACAGGGTTTTACCATATTGGCCAGGCTGGTCTCAAACTTCTGACCTCAAGGGATCAACCCACCTTGGCCTCCCAAAGTGCTGGAATTACAGGTGTGAGCCACCACGCCTGGCCTACAACTTACTTTAAAATGCGTAAAACAAGGCTGGGCACCATTGTTCACGCCTGTAATCTCAGCACTTTGGGAGGCCAAGGCAGGTGGATCACTTGAGGTCAGGAGTTCGAGACCGGCCTGGCCAACTTGGTGAAACCCCATCTCTACTAAAAAATATACAAAAATTAGCCAAGCATGATGGTGTGGGTCTATGATCCAAGCTGCTAGGGAGGTTGAGGCAGGAGAAACACTCGAACCCAGGAGGCAGAGGCAGCAGTGAGCCGAGATCACCACTGTACTCCAGCCTGGGAGACAGAGCAAAATTCCATCTCAATAAATAAATAAAGTTGTAGACATCAATATACTTCCCCCTTAATTAGCATACATAACATTGTCTAGTTAAGTACTTGTTTATTATTTGATAGATAAAATTTTGCATATAGTGAACAAATTTTATAGTACCAATCAATGAGTATTGGCAAATGCATACAGCTGTATAATCCAAATCCTGTCAAAACATAGAACATAACCATCACCCCAAAAAGTTTCCTCATTTTTCTTCCCATTTAGTTCCTACCATCACCCCCTGAAGACAATGAAGAAACAAAAAAATCACCTTGATAGAAAGATGGGCTGAGGGCATACACTGTCATTTCACAAAAGAGGAAATATACATTGACCAATAAACCCGTAAGGAAATAAATGCCCAACCTTACTTAAATGTGAAACAAATTATTTTATATGTCAGATTGGCAATAATTTAAAATGTTTATAACAGGGAGTTTTGGCCAGCGTGTGGGGAAGGGCACTCCCATGACAACCCAAAATGCTCTTTAACTTATCCAGAATATATTTCAATAATTATATACATTTTTTATTTTACGAATTCCATTTAGTTCTTTTAAAAATATTCCCAGTCATTTGTGGTAATTTCTTTTTCTTGTCCCTATTGATAACTCTAAGCTTTAGTTCTTTAAACTTTCATTTATTAGGTATTTTATATTCTGTTGTTAACTCCCCTATCTGAATTTCTTCTAGATCTGTGTTAGTTACAGTATAGACTTGACTGCTTTAACATACAGACCCCAAACAATAAGATAGACATTTATTCGTTGTCCAAGTAGGTAGTCCAGTACTGATATGGAAAGTCCAATCTACAATCCACAGGTCTCCAAGTCCTTTCTCTCATTACACTGCTATTCTCAACATTTCATCAGCTCCCACCATCTTGTCCACAGTCCAGACAGCAGAAAAGAGAAAATGGGAGTCACCCCTACCTTTTGATAGCTGGGCCTGAAAGTGACACACACTGCTTCTGCTCACATCTCACAGGTAAGAAGTCACATGACCATACCTATATGCAAGGCAGTCTGGGAAATGTCATTGTTAACCTTTACCTAAAAATTATATTGTGGCCGGTGCAGCAGCTCATGCCTGTAATCCTAGCACTTTGGGAGGCCAAGGAGGGTTGGATCACTTGAGGTCAGGAGTTCAAGACCAGCTTGGCCAACATGGTAAAACCTCATGTCTACTAAAAATACAAAAGATTAACTGGCGATGGTGGCACCCACCTGTAATCCCAGTTACTCAGGAGGTTGAGGCAAAGAATTGCTTGAACCCAGGAGGTGCAGGTTTCAGTGAACCAAGATCGTGCCATGGCACTCCAGCCTGGGCAACAGACTGAGACTCTATTTCAAAAAAAAAAAAAAATTATATTGCTACTGAGAAAGGATAGAATGGATATTGGCAGACAACTAGCAGTTTCTGGAGCAGGCTATAAATCTCATTGTTTCTGCTGGCTTTTCCTTGTGGGATGACTGGCCTCACCTGCTTGATGATCTTTGATTATGAGCTTATATTTGCTTGCTCTTGATCTATGGAAATCTTGTGAACCCAAATTAGGAATGCTTTTCTCCAGAGAAGGTTTGGTTTGCTTTTTCTAGGAACCAAGAGGAGGAATCTTCAGCTCTCACCTACTACTAGTCTGAGGATTAGTATCTTGGGTTGTTTTTTGTTTTTTTTGAGATGGAATTTTGCCCTTGTTGCCCAGGCTGGAGTACAATGGCGCCATCTCAGCTCACCGCAACCTCCACCTCCTGGGTTCAAGCAATTCTCCTGCCTCAGCCCCCCAAGTAGTTGGGATTACAGGCATGCACCACCATGCCGAGCTAATTTTGTATTTTTAGTAGAAACAGGGTTTCTCCATGTTGGTCAGGCTGGTCTTGAACAGCTGATATCAGGTGATCCGCCTGCCTCAGCCTCCCAAAATGCTGGGATTACAGGCATGAGCCACTGCACCCAGCTAATACCTTGATTTTTGATGCTAAAGATATTTGCCCTTGGAGGTGACACCATGTTTACCATTTGGTTACTGATCACTGCTCCCAGTTCTGATTTCAGTGCTTGGATACTCGTTTTGGTTTTGGTTTTGTTTGATGAACAAACAAATTTTCTCTTAAACTTGTTGGGATCTCAGCAATGCATTTAAAGGTATGTTTTATCTATCATCAAACTGTTTTGTAATAGAAGGGTGTTGCAGGGAATATGATCCAGCATATAGCCAGACCAAAAATGTCCCATTCGCTCTTCAGTTTACTTTCAAGTCTGGCTTTTTCTCTACTTTCCAGGCTTGCCAAAGCTGCCAATAACCTCTTTGTTAACAAACCTAGTGTATACTTTTCTGTCTTCATGTTACTCAGCCTCTCAGTGGCATTGACACAGTTGACCATCATTTATTATTTCGCCTAATATAAAGAAGCACTGTTTTGTTTTGTTTTTGTTTTTTTGAGATGGCGTTTTGCTCCATCTCACCCAGGCTGGAGTGCAATGGCATGATCTCACTGCAACCTCAGCCTCCTGGATTCAAGCTATTCTCCTGCCTCAGGTTCCCCAGTAGGTGGGATTATAGGTGCGTGCCACCACGCCCAGCTAATTTTTCTATTTTTAGTAGAGATGGGGTTTCATTATGTTGGCCAGGCTGATCTTGAACTCCTGACCTCTAGTGACCCGCCCTTCTTGGTCTCCCAAAGTGCTGGGATTACAGGCGAAAGCCACCATTCCTAGCCCAAGCACTGTTTTGAATGCTAGGGAGTGAACAGAACACACACACAAAAAAATCTTATAGAGAGGAAACAGACAATAAACATATTAAACCTATATTTTGTAATATGGCCAAAGGTGGTTAAATGCTGTGGCATAGAAATGGGAGCAGGGCAAGGGATATCAGGAGAGCTCGAAGAGAGACTGCAGATTAAAAGGGGAGAAATGTAGGCTTCATTGAGAAGATGATATCTGAGCAAATACTTGAAGGACATAAAGGGGTAAGCTGTGGGGAATCATAAGGGAGGAACATTACAGATGACAACAGCCAGTGTACATGCCTTGAGAGAGGGTTGTGCCAGATATTTTCAGGAAGAGGAGGCAGAGTCCAGTGTGGCTAGAATAGAGCGAACATGGGAGGGAGAAATCGGAGGTGAGATCAAGTAGATAAAGAAGGCTGGCAGGTCATGTAGGGTCCAGCAGGCCATTGTGAAGACTTTGACTTTTTTTGAGATGGGGAGTTTGTTTTTTGAGACAGGGTCTTGCTCTGTTGCCTAGGCTGGAGTGCAGTGGTAAAATTCACAGAAGCCTTGACCTCATGGGCTCAAGCAATCCTCCCACCTCAGCCTCCCAATAGCTGGGACTATGGGTGCAGGCAACTATGCCTGGCTAATTTTTTAATTGTTTTGTAGAGGTGGGGTCTCACTGTGTTGCCCAGACTGATCTTGAACTCCTGACCCCAAGTGATCCTCTGTTCTTGGCGGCCCAAAATGCTGGGATTATAGGCATGAGCCACCATGCCTGGCCAGGAGCCATTTTTTGAGCAGAGTTGTGACATGAACTGACTTAGATTTTTTAAATGATCTCTCTGGCTGCTGTGTTCATAGAAAGCCATGGGGGATCCAGGGTGGAATCAGGGACCACTAGAGATGCTATTGTAACAATTCTTTTCCTTGACCCTGTTCCCTCTGTTGACTATGTTCTTGTATATCCAGATTTTTCTCCTGCCTTACTAGCTGCTCCTTTTCCAGTACCACCTCTGTCCCAATGTACAAACGTTGGAGCACCTTAGACTCAGTCCTGAGACCCTTCTTGTATCTAGCATCATTCCCTGAGTAATTTTTTTATTTTTTGAGACAGGGTCTTATTCATTCATCCAGGCTGAAGTGCAGTGGCATGAACACAGTTCACCATAGCCTCCACCTTCTGGACTCAAGGGATCCTCCTATCTCAGCCTCCCAAAGGTCTGGTATTACAGGTATGAGCCACTGCGCCCAGCCACTGGATGATCTTATGCAAACCTATGGCTTCTAAAACCATCTCTTTGCTGGTGATGCATAAACTTAGCACTGTAGCACTGAGCTTAAAGCAACTTGCTATCCAAACTGGAGCTGTTCATTTCTCCCCAAACATTTCCTTCCCTAGCCCAGGCTTTCACATCCTAGTAAATGGTATTGTATTTGCTCAAACCAAAAAAATAGTCATCTCTAATGCCTCCGTTACCCTTATCTCCCTATCCAACCCATCAACAAGACATGTTCTTTAACCCCTGAATCAAAGATCTATTTCCTCCAAAATACTATGTATAAAATAACCTCAAAAACCTCTGTGGAGCCAGTGTAATGGCTGGCACCTGTAGTCACAGCTACTCAGGAAGCTGAGGCAGGAGGATTGCTTGACCCCCAGAGTTCAAGACCAGCCTAGATAACATAGTGAGACCCTATCTCTAAAAAATTAAAAAATAAAAAGAAAAGAAAAAACTTCAGTGGCTTAAACAATGAATATTTTTCTCATAAAACTGCTGCTCAGTTGGTATTTGGCTGAGATTGGCTGGGCTTGGCTGACTTGACTGCAGGATACAGGATGAGTTAGGATCTGATCCATGTGTGTTCATTCTGGGGCTCAGGCTGAAGGGCAGCAGCTGTCCCAGGGATGATCTCATAGTGAAGTCAAAAGCACAAGATGGGGCTGGGTACCTGTAATCCCAGCACTTTGGGAGGATGAGGCAGCCAGATCACTTGACATCAGGAATTCAAGACCAGCCTGACCAACATAGTGAAACCCCATCTCTACTAAAAATACAAATTATACACCTGAATCCCAGCACTTTGGGAGGCTGAGGCAGAAGGACCACTTCAGGTCAGGAGTTTAAGACCAGCCTGACCAATATGGTGAAACCCCATCTCTACTAAAAATAAAAAAATTAGTCAGGTGTAGTGACATTTGCCTGTAGTCCCACCTACTGAGGAGGCTGAGGCAGGAGAATCACTTGAACTTGGCAGGCGGAGGTTGCAGTGAGCAGAGATTGCACCACTGCACTCTAGCCTGGGGGACAGAATGAGACTATGTCAATAAAAAAATTAAAACACAAATGGGCACACTGAGCTTCTGCTCCCATCACTTCCCATTGGCCAGTCAAGCCTAAAATCAGGAGGTGGGAAGTACACTGTATCCACCATGAAACCACAGCAAGGGGATGGTTATATATGATATTATGGGGATTGAAGAATTGAGACCGAGTGTTCAATTTTTCAATCTCCCAAAACCTTCTAAAGAATTGCACTTCTCTCCAAACCTACCCTCTCTACTCACCCTATCGTCAAATGATCGTCATCTTTTGCCTCTAAACAAGTGTGTTTTCACCAGTGTATCCCTCACACCCCTAGAACAATGCCTAGCAGGTAGTATATGCTTAGTAAATAATGTGTTCAATAAGTAACTCCAAACTGATCTCCCTAGTTACACTCACTTCTCCCTAATCCCTTTCCACAGAGCAGCCAGGGCAAGGTTTAAAAACATAAATTCTATTATATCAGTCCCAGCTTAAAACTCTACTCTGGCTTCTCTTTGCACTGGAACTCCTTACCATGTCCTTTAAAGGCCATCCATTATCCAGCCTGTCCTGGCTCTCCAAATGCACCTGGTACCACTACCTCCTCAAATATTTCAAGTGGTTTTCTCTTTATTTTGTTATTTTTTTCTTTCTTTTTTTTTTTTAGAGATGGGGTTTCACCATGTTGGCCAGGCTGGTGTTGAACTCCTGACCTCAGGTGATCCGCCCACCTCAGTCTCCCGAAGTGCTGGGATTACAGGCATGAGCCACCACGCCCAGCCTATTATTATTATTATTATTATTATTTTTTTGAGATGGAGTCTCGCTCTGTCACCAGGCTGGAATGCAGTGGCACTATCTTGGCTCACTGCAACCTCCACCTCCCAGGTTCAAATGATTCTCTTGCCTCAGCCTCCCAAGTAGCTGGGACTACAGGCACCTGCCACCACACCCAGCTAATTTTTGAGTTTTTAGTCGAGACAGGGTTTTTCCATGTGGGCCAGAATGGTCTCAATCTCCTGACCTCATGATCCACCCACTCCGGCCTCCCAAAGTGCTGGGATTACAGGTGTGAGCCACTGCCCCCCGCTGCAAGTGCTTTTCAACTGCAAGACCTTTGTACTTGCCGTTCCCTCGGAGTGCAGTGCTTTTTCTCGGGCTGTTGGCATGCTAGCTCAGCTTCAGCGAAAATGCCACTTCCTCAGGCCCTCCTCCACCATTAACCACTGACCACTGTACTTAAAGTTACTCTCTCCCATTATGTTGCATCCCCGTCACCTTGTTCACTCCTTTCAGTGTATTTATCACGCCATGGAATTACCATGTTTTGTTCATCACTGATCTCTAGCACCTATAATAATGTCTGGCACATATTAAGTGCCCTACAAAAATTGTTGAGGACAAGCATGGTGGCTCACACCTGTAATCCCACCACTTTGGGAGGTTGAGGCAGGTAGATCACTTGAGGGCAGGAGTTCAAGACTAGCCTGGCCAACCTGGTGAAACCCATGTCATTACTAAAAATACAAAAATTAGCCAGGCATGATGGTACGCGCCTGTAATCCCAGCTACTGGGGAGGCTGAAGCAGGAGAATTGCTTGAACCCAGGAGGTGGAGGTTGCAGTGAGCCGACATCATGCTGCTACACTCCAGCCTAGGCAACAGAGTGAGATTCCATCTCAAACAAAAAAAATCTGTTGGGGAGTATATGAGAAAAGGCTTCCCTCACATTTTTAGATGATTTTTACTGCCTTTAATTTTCATCTACTCATCCATATATAATATGATATTATGTAAATCCAAAGAAAATAAATTTAAGCTGAATAAAAATACTGGAACATATTTGTTAATAAAGAAGTTGAGAGCTGGAGTTGCTCTTCATGCGCTGTGGTATCCTTCTGCCTTGTGCCTCTGAGGCACTCATCTGCGGGGCTTAGGGGCTCAGTGAGGCCTACACTGACATCTACTCTTCCACCTCCTGCACGGATTCAGCTTACCTGGCTCACCTGTTTCCTTTTCCCATTCTTATCCTGGCTAATGTACTAGATAATTTACCTATAATTATTATTTGTTTCCTGTCCCCCACTCTGCACCACTGCGAGCCCTATGAAGGTAAGAATAGTATTTTGTTTTTGTTTTTGTTTTTCTGGTTCTGAGTAGGTGCTCAACCAATTGTGGAAGGAAATAATGAATGTCTCAAAGAAAGAAAGCTGGGAAGGTTCTGTATTCTCTCACTTCCTCCTAGTCGTGGAAGATTAAGATACCCCCCACCTTTGCACAATCTACATCTCATCACTATATACGAAATCTCCATGAGGTGTAAATGTTCACTGCTTTATTCATCCACAGAATGGTTTTACACGTGTATTTATAAATCCGTGTGCCTGTTGATGTTTTGCATGTGAGATCCTTTATTTACCTGAGAGCTTTCACGAGGAAGAATTTAGCTCAATATTTGTGAGATTATGATAGGATAAAATCTGATGAAGATAAACGCCATCCTATAGAGGGTGTTTCTGCTGTGAGTGGAGACTGTTTTTCCTCTTTCCTGAAGGAAAGTCCAGCAGTTGTTTAAATAATGAATAAAGCTAAGCACTTAATTTTATCTTCAGGAAGGTACTGGAAGAAGAAGAGGAACAGCGTACAAGAACTACAAGTACACCTTTTGTGGGAAACAGCCAGTTCAAAATCTTCCCAATCATCAGTTATACTTTTCTTGGGATTATGAAATTAAAACATTCTGTACTTGGTTATTTTCACAAGCCTTATCATCTTCAAATACTCCCTCCTTTGCCCATCCCTCAAAAGGTTAACAGTGGGAAATTTTTCTTTAAAAGTAAACTATGTTCTTTTCTTTAAAATAACCGTTATAGAGAAATTATTCCTTTAAGTAGTCATGCTTTTAAATTGCTTGGAGGTGATTACATATGAACCTTCCTATAAACTTGTATCTCTCTCATTTAAAAGAAAAGAGGAAGGAAAGGAATTAGCCCATTAATTATTTAAAATACTTGGTGCAACTGTTTCTATGAATTAATCCAGGCACTTGGAAGACAATTACACTCCGTGTTAATATCATTGCCAACCTTTTCCACTATGCTGCACTCCAAATACTATTGTGTTTTCAATGACAACATTCCCTATTACATATGCATATGAAAAACAGGCATTTTCATCAGAATTACCGTAATAGCATTAAGAGATTATTTTTTCCAATTTCCTTGGAAGAAAATTCACTTAAATTAGATTATTTATTACTCGATTGCTCTTGTATCTTGCCTGTATGTTTAGGTAACTGGAACCCGTGAAAGTATAAACTTCAGAATAAAAAGCATGATTTTATACATTAATGACTTCAAATAAAAGAGGAATGCCACATTTGTGCATCACTTCTTTCGAGAAAGTTAAGTCTGTTCTGCTTCGGAGAGATAACACTTTTTGTCCCAGTAGGTGGCCCCCCTGGTGTAGCCATTAGTTGCTAATTACTTGCAAACAAATAAACAATTAACTCCTTAAGCTTCTGGCTGGGCAAGTGTTCATTGACATGCTAAAACTTTCTAAGACAGGATTTTAATTAGTGATGTTCTAAATCCAGCCCCCTTGTCAGCGTAGCTATAAGGTGAATTGCAGGAAGACCCCAGCCTTATACACGTGAGGCTGAGCCAGCAGAGGCCAGAGCTATTGCTCTGCACAGACCACGAGAGGATGTCTCCCAGCCTTCAGGAAGGCGCTCAGCTCCGGGAAAGCAAACCCTCAACTTGCTCCTTTTCAATTGAGAGAATCTTAGGAATGGACGAGAAGAAAGACTGTGTTCCATTAGTGAAACCCTACTGGCCCTGGGCAGACACCTGCAGCTCCTCAGGTATGCCACAACTTAGTTGCTTCAATTATTTGTTATTTCATTTACGGTGTTTATTTTTTGCCCTTTATCTCATACTACATAGAGTCTAGGACTTTTATTTTAGTCTATTCTATTTTTTTCTGAGACAGTTTTCCTCTTGTTGCCCAGGCTGGAGTGCAATGGCACAATCTCAGCCCACGGCAACCTCCACCTTCCTGGTTCAAATGATTCTCCTGCCTCAGCCTTCGGAGTGCTTGGATTACATGCATAACCCCGCCTGGCTAATTTTTCTGTTTTTAGTAGAGATGGGATTTTACCATGTTGGACAGGCTAGTCTCAAACTCCTGACCTCAGGTGATCTGCCTGCCTCGGGCTACAGAGTGTTGGGATTACAGGTGAGCCCAGCCAGAGTCTAGAACTTTTAAAGCCTCTAGCTGAGTCCTATGGGAAATGAAAAGAATGTATCAGTTTTGGATCGAGCAAAGTGGATAAAAAGTTCAATCACAGGAAATGCCAAGAACCTGCATTTACTTCAGAAGATCTCTCTCTCTGTTTGACACATCAGATATTTGAAATCTCTTTTCACTGAAAAATAAACAACATTTAGAGACCAAAGAGGCAGGATTACCAAGACAGGATCTTCATTTTTGATTCGTTTTCAGTTTTTGGTTGATAGGGGTTGATTCTCTTGTGAAACTCAGAAGAATTCCACTAGGAAATGAAAGATGAGTTCCTGAAACTACCTCTTATAGAGCTTTGTGAAACATAAGATTGACCATCTAAAACGGGGTTTATTTTTCTGTTTTTAGGGAAAGATGGTAACTTATGTCTATATGTCCCAAATCCTCCCAATGGCATTTCATTCCCTAGCATGGTGGATCACCCAATACCAGAAGAAAGAGCTTCAAAATATGAAAATTACTTTTCAGCCTCAGAAAGACTGTATTTGAAAAGAGAGTTGAGTTGGTATAGAGGCCGAAGACCAAGAACTGCTTTTACTCAAAACCAGGTGGGAAGTTTTTTCACCCAATAATGATACTAAAAGGTTTTAACTGACACCAAGTTGAGCAAAACCCATTCACTTTGGTATCTCAGTTTAGAAGCCTTATTAATGAAACAATAGACTATCATATTTTAACAATTACCAGGTAATCATTTTTAAAAAGGCATCCATATTATTGCCAATATTTAAATGCAGTCATTTTGCTCTAGAAATTAAAGCTCATTTTTGGTGACATACTGAATATCAACATTTTAAAGATTTATTTTCTTATTTTTAGATTGAAGTGTTAGAAAATGTCTTTAGAGTAAACTGCTATCCTGGCATTGATATTAGAGAAGACTTAGCTCGAAAATTGAATCTAGAGGAAGACAGAATCCAGGTAATTTTCAAATTTAGTTGTTACTCATGATGGTTGAAATGTTAAAAATAATAAAATAATCTTTCTGAGACCTATTTTATTTTTCCTTAACTTTAGATTTGGTTCCAAAATCGGCGTGCAAAACTGAAAAGATCCCATAGAGAATCACAGTTTCTAATGGCGAAAAAAAATTTCAACACAAATCTCCTGGAATAGATAGAAAACTAAACAAATGAAATTATCTTCTAATTGCAGAGCATGAAGAATCAGTGGAAATATTAATTGTTAAAATGTGATGTTTTCTTTCCTGCATTTAATCTGCATATTGTCATTTTTTTCTGAAAATATATTGTAAATAATTGCTATTATAGCATGGTACATATTATATTTGGGTACTTTTAGTTATAGTAAAGAACTTTCCTATATATTTTAATAATCATTTTCAGAAAAGATTGCTATTTTTTAAGTGAGCAAAATTAACCTAATAAATTAATTTGTTAAAATCAATAGACTCATGACTAAGTGATTCCACAAGTTGAATTCTATTTGTAAAGTATTTCAAGTGAAATAATCTGAAGAGCAAAGATGTGAGTTGTTTCCATTAGTTTCCTCCATGTACATTTGGAACATGATTATGCTTAACCATATTATAGATTATGATTTATTGACGAATCTTCAACTTCTCTTGATTAATAGCATAAAGCAGTGAGAATTTCTCACCATCTATCAAAACAAATTCTTAGTGTTAGTTTCAAGTTTTTTTCAAGCAAAGTCATTATGCCAAAGTAGAAATATACAAGCATCAGCTATATCATATTATATGCCATCGGTATTGAATTTCACATAAGAATTAAGCAACAAACAAACAGAAAAAGAATTAAGCTACCAAAAAAATGCAAAATGTTAAATAGTTTTCTAATTTAATTTTGTACTTTCATTCAATAAAGTGATAGTGATCATCTAGCTTATATTTATTTTCAGTTTAATGATTTCTAATCAACTGCAAAATTAGGTTGACTGAGAAGGCAGGATAACTGACCTACCTTTTGTAAGTGCTCTGACATAGTCACTGGAAATAATCAGGATGCTTTCCAAGTAACAAAAACTATGTGTCTTCATTTCTCATTTTCCCATTTTACCTGCCAATTAAAGATGGGAATAGGAAAAGATATATAACAAGAAGGGAGCCCCTCCACTGGAAATGTAAGTATTTGTTTTCTAGTTAATGGAATACCTAAGTGGGTGTTTTTGTTCTCTGTTTTTTTGAAATGTCAGCTTAAGACTCTGACTTTGTCCACTGGAAGCCAAATTTCAGCTTTGTCCATTTGAATAGACAAATGGACATGTCCTCTGTCCTTTATCATGTCCCAGTGATGATCAGGTGGGAGGTTCTCATTGAGTTATTGAATCTATAACCACTATATATTTTTATATATATGAAAGACTAGAGGGAGTTTGCATATTATTTCTAAGGAAAAGCAGCATGACTCAGATTTTAGAGCTTTTAAAATTATTTACTGAGAGCACATTTGGGGTACAGAGCTATGTGTCCCAACAATTGATCAGCAATAAGCAGCAATATTCTACTGTTGCTGAGACAGAGAGGGAGGAGGAAAAGAAGGGCAACAGGGCAGTTAGGAAGAACAAAGGCATTACGTGTTTTCCAAAAAAGACTGGGCCACTTTTTCCAATATAAAGAGCTGCTTCCATTCACATAAAAATTAGAAGCAACATTTATGAAATGTATTAGTTAAAATTTGTCCACAAAGAGTTTTCTTTGTTCTCCATTAGGTTATTAGGAAATTATGTTAAATTGGAAGACTGGAAGTTACCAGGAGTAGACTCGGGGAGTGGGTTGGAGGGGAATGTGTCACATGATGGGTAAGCTTTTATTTTTAATTCCAAATTTATTGTCATTCTATATTCTGCAAACAATGTAAGCAGTATAGAAGTAGAGTAAAATTCCCCTTGAATGTTATCCTTAAGAGATAACTATCATTAAACATCTTTATAGACCTTTTTGTGTATCATAAAAGCATCTTTTTATATATAAACACACACACATATATTTGTTGTTTTTGCTATTATTTTTTTAAATGTGATCACATTTGACATTCTGTTTTGCATCTCTCTGACATCCTGCCATGTCAGAATTATAGCTCTGTCTCCTGAATGTCTGCTTGGTTTAGGATAAGATTTCAAGTCTTATACACAATAATAAACTATTCCACAATATTAATATTAATTATTTTTGAAGTAGTGCTTTTCATAAATTGAGAATATTCAGAGTAATCATAGCTTATCTAGAATTTCTACAATTAAACCTAATTCTCAAATCCCTGAGGAATGTGAAGATTCTGTGTAAAATTGTAGACTCCGGAAAAAAATGAAACACCATCATAGATAGCGATCAATAACTAATAATGCACTTAAGTTTTTTTAATTATAAAAACTAGTCATACCTCTAAAACATCTGGTGAGGAGAGAAACATAGTAGTAACTCTAGACTTATCATTATCTCAGTGTTTTCCAATGACAATTTTGTATAACTGATTTATGTGGCCCTGAAATTCAATTTTATTTATAATTGAAATAAATTGTGTTTATTACTGAAGTTATATACTTATAACTGAAGCTACATATTTATAACTGAAATCGTTTATAATAGAAATGATATATTTATAACAAATAATATTTATGTCAGAAAAATTAAAACCAGAATTTATAATATTAAGTAACTATAAATATATGTCTATTTTTTATATTTTTCTAATAACAAAATACAAGTTCTATTATAACTTTTGTGAAGCAAGTTTATAATATATAAGAATACTCAAGCAGGATAATATAAAAGATTGCTAGTATATTTTCCCTAAAATCTTTTCTAAAAACCTAAAGATAAAGGCTGATCCTGTTAAAAGAACTAATGAATCAGTAACATTTTTGGATTTACAATTGCTAGAAATTTGGAGAGAATATAATGATATTCAGGGGTGAAACTGGACTCAGGAAAAATCAAGCAAAATGAAAATGGAAAGGAAAACCCAAGATAGAATTTTCTTTCCCTCAAAACATGTAGGCTCTAATCCACAGCTTATTCTGTTCCTGGTAATTCTAGGCCTTTGTCTCCATTAATGCTCAGGACAAGGTGAACAGTAGTAACAAATCAAACTAATGCAGTCAGGTTAATACCTGGAGCGCCTCTATTATCTGACAACTGCCTAAATAAGGTTATTTGGTCTCCTGGTAATGGCATTTGTCTTTTGTGAAGCCAGCCAGACAAAGCCCATCACTGAAGAGTGCTGCTGGAAACAATGGCTGTGTGTGCTGGTGGTCAACTTTTTTGTTAACCAGTGTTAATAGCCGCTTTCACCTCATGCATCTTATCACACATCACACAAATGGCATAAATCTCCCATTACCGAACCCCACACACAGCATCAGCCTGGGCCTTGTTCCTACCTCTTGTTCCTTCCAGGAGAGAGTTGGGAACTGCTCCATTTTCTCAATATGGAACTCAAATCACAGTCTGACAAAGGGTGACTTGCTATCTCCATTCCACTGAGCCCCATAGGAATAAAACCCCCTCCAAATTAGTCTTTGGCTACCTTTCATGCTCATTTTGACTGTCCTGACTCCTGTTGGAACATCAGTCCACAGCATGAGGCAGCTCCTGGTGGCTCTCAACACTCCACACTCCATTAGACTCACCTCTTCTGCCCATGGTTTAATCTTAGACTTCACAGCCGCCAGAATTGTAAGAAATAAATTTCTGTTGTATATAAGCCACCAAGTCTGTGGCATTTTTGTTATAGAAGCCCAAACAGACTAAGCATCCACTATGAGCTATGCAATATGGTACATGAATCATCTCATTTAATTTTCACAGTAGCTCTGCAAAGTGAATATAGACAATTCCACTTTACAAATAAGAAAACCTTGGATATTTTTATTATAATTTTTGTTTTTTGAGATGGAGTCTCACTCTGTCACCCAGGCTGAAGTGCAGTGGCACAATCTCAGCGCACTGCAACCTCTGCCTCCTGGGTTCAAGTGATTCTCTGCCTCAGCATCCTGAGTATCTGAGACTACAGGCGTGTTCCACCACGCCTGGCTGATTTTTGTAGTTTCAGTAGAGACGGGGTTTCTCCCTGTTGGCCAAGCTGGTCTCAAACTCCTGACCTCAAGAGATCCGCCTGCCTTGGCCTCCCAAAGTGCTGGGATTACTGTCGTCAGCCACCAGGCTGGGCCTTTATTCTGGTGATTATTATCCCATTTTATAGATGAGCCGATTGAAGGACACAGACTAAATGACTTGATCATGGCCACACAGCTGAAGCAGCTCAGCCAGAATTCAGACCAAGTTCTGCCTGGCTGCAGAGTTGCCTCTTTCTGTTAAGCCTTCCAGTAGATGGAGTTACCGGCTGTGATGCTAATACCTAGAAAAATGTGCTACATTTTTCCTTTCTTCCTCCCTTTCTTCCACTTTTTTTTTTTTTTTTTTTGGCAGGGTTGGGTGGGAGTAGGGGAATGGGAATAAAGGTCTGAGTGTTGGATACCTAAAGTAATCAAATTCTCTTAAGTCCCAATAATTTTTTGGAAATATTTTCTCTAGATATAAATGGTATTTTGTACATAAAAGGATAATATGTACATCCTTATCCGTATAAATATTAAACCTCATTAAGGTTTTTTTTTGTATTTATTTATTTTTGAGATGGAGTTTCGCTCTTGTTACCCAGGCTGGAGTGCACAATCTCGGCTCACCGCAACCTCCGCCTCCTGGGTTCGAGCAATTCCCCTGCCTCAGCCTCCTGAGTAGCTGGGATCACAGGCACGCGCCACCATGCCCAGCTAATTTTTTGTATTTTTAGTAGAGACAGGGTTTCACCATGTCAATCAGGATGGTCTCAATCTCTTGACCTCGTGATCCACCCGCCTCGGCCTCCCAAAGTACTGGGATTACAGGCTTGAGCCACCGCGCCCGGCCCTTTTTTTGTATTTTAAACCTTATTAAGATTTAACAGCAATCACTTGATTTAAGCCCTTTTTTCCCTGAAATTACTGTCAGAAATTTGTGGAGGCCAGGCATGGTGGCTCACACTTGTAATCCCAGCGCTTTGGGAGGCCAAGGCAGGATGATCACTGAGGCCAGAAGTTCAAGATAGCCTGGGCAACACAGTGAGATTTCATCTCTACAAAAAATTTAAAAATTAGCCAGCCTTGGTGGCTCACACCTGTAATCCCAGCACTTTGGGAGGCCGAGGCAGGCAGATCACTTGAGGTCAGAAGTTTGAGACCAGCCTGGCCAACATGACAAAACCCCTTTTCTACTAAAAATACAAAAATTAGCTGGGTATGGTGGCAGGTGCCTGTATTCCCAGCTACTTGGGAGGCTGAGGCAGGACAATCCCTTGAACCCTGGAGGCAGAGGTTGCAGTGAGCCAAGATCCTGCCACTGAACTCCAGCCTGGGCAACAGAGTGAGACTCCGTCTCAAAAAAGAAAAAAAATAGCTGGGCATGGTGATGTGCTCTTGTGGTCCCAGCTACTCAGGAAGCTGAGGTAGGAGAATTGCTT